AACACGGGTGCACTCACATACATGCAGGCAATACACTCATACACATAAAATAAAAATAAAATTTAAAATAAATAAGCAGAAAGAGCCTGATATAGTACACATCTGTAATTTCAGCCCTAGAAAGGCTGACTCAGGAGGAACGATGGCAAGTTCTAGGCCAGTCTGAGATGGTAAAACTCTCTTAAAAAACAATTTCGAAAGCAGGTGTCTATGGGTACAGTCAGATGACAAGAGTGCTTACTTAGTATGCATGGGGACCTGGGCCAGATCCCTTGCACTGAGGAAACCAAATAAAAATAAAGCATCCAGGTGTGGTGGGTGATACAGGCCTGTAATTTCAGCACTCAGGAGGCAGAGGCAGAAGGATTCAAGCCTGATATGGTATACATCTATAATTTCAGCCAAGAAATTCAAGGCTAACCTGGTCTACAGAGTGAGTTACAGGCTGGCAAGGGCTTCTTAGTGAGACCTTGTCTTACAAACCCAAATAGAGAAAAGAATGCAGAAATATGAGTATTCACCCAGTCTACTTAACTGCCATCTTCTCCAGGCTTTATGTGCATTTGCTGTTCCTACTTTGGCCTCTTACTCCTTCAGTCTTTCTTAGTAACCATCATTTACACTAAAACTAATCTGGTAGAGTTAAACAGATTCCTTGTAGCAAATGCCAGTATTTTTCAGAGCTCATCTTAGCTGACCATTCAGAAACATTAAACAGTGCTAAGTATTTCTCTTCTCTCCATTCATCTAATATTAAGCACCCAATATAGGCTAGGTACCATCAGACACTGTGGTAGGTGCTAGAGCACAGATGGGACAGGCAGTCTTTTCCCTCAAGGAAATTACAAGTTCCTGAAAGACAGGGCAAAGAAACAGACCTTTATGACGGTGTGGAGACAGTGAAAACTAGAGTGTTATGGGAGGGGTCTCTAGACGGGACCTGCCGCTTGCTGCAGCAGTGGCTTGGAAAGGAAGACAGACTTGATGAGGGCTGAGCTGACATGGGAACATTCCTGGCGGAGTGAATAGCAAATACCAGATGATAGGAGGGACCAGGGACACAGGTGTCTAAACTGCTGGTAGACCCAGACTTCAGAGACTTGGTCAGCTACATATGATAAATGTTCACTACTTTGTGTCAGTGTGATCAACAAGGTAGAATGTGTGTGTATGGGGGGGGGGCCAAGATGGAACTCTCAAGATCAACAAAGGAGGCATGGGAAGAGGAGGTGGGAAAATCCAAAGCTGGAGAGGGAGAAGTGACAGTCCAGTGCTGCCAGGTCACCTGGGAGAGCAAGCAGTCCTCCATGCAGACTCTGCCAACTGAGAACTTCCATTTCACTATGAGGTTCCTGCTCCATAAGCCTTCCCCATGGGGTAGCCACCACTCCTTTCCGGAAACCTTCTTAATTTGCATCAGTGAGTGTGGGAAAGCATCACGAGGGCAGGGGCTACACATCTGTCTTATGCACACAGTGCAGTACTGGTTCACTAGGTGACTGGAGATTTGCAAATGCAAATTAAACAGAATAAACCTTTGCAGTGCAAGGATTGGCTTTTATTTCTTGGCAACCCTTCTCATTGTTCCTTGACATCCATTCAAGTAATTATAGTGCCTGACCTACAGGAAAGTTTAGTCCCAGTTCCTCAATGATCTGAATATGACTTAAAAACCTCAGTTCCAGGGGGTGGAGAGATGGCTCAGTGGTTAAGAGCACTGGCTGCTCTTGCAGAGGACCCAGGTTTGGTTCCCAGCACCCACATGGTGGTGAACAACCATCCATAACTCCAGTTCCAGGGGATAGGCCGCCCTCTTCTGACCTCCAAGGCCATTGCACGGCACGGGTGCACTTACATTCAGACAATACACACACACATTAAATTTTAAAAACCCTCAGTTCCCTGCACTGACAATTCCTTTTCACTGTTAGGTGCATGGACCTTGAAAGACATCTCTTTTCCTCCAGCTGCCTCTCATTCTGACTTCCTTGAATGAAATTACACCTCCCTTTCCCCTCCTTAGCCCAGGTGTAGGCAGGACATAAACCACTGAAGGCTGTAAACACAAGCATTAAGGAACGGAGAAGCACACTGTAAAGCACTGTGCACACGCAATTTTCTTTCCAGATTCGTAAGCACCTCGAGGTCACGCCTCCAGAGAAGGTAGACCCCCTCCCCACCTCCCCGAACTGATTTTCTCTGCAGCACCCCGAAGCCTCCCGCCCCGCCCCGCCCCGCCCCATCCTCAAATGCAACGGCGCAGGGCCGGGCAGCTCCACGGGTTAAGTCTCCGTTTCGGCTCCGACCCGGAAGGCCGAGCCGGGTGTTGGGCGTGGTGATACGCACCGCGGGGACAGGGGGCTCCGGTCTCACGTCCAAGACTCCCCGAGAGCTGCTGAACCTGATCAGTAACTGCCGCCGCCGCGCTCCCGGAAGCGCAGCGCACGTCCCTCTTTCCCCAAGAGGTGGAGCTTGTCGGCGCTTCCGTGTACGTCATCATGAGGCGCCCGGACTTATAGTTGTACCACTTTGTCCAGGCATGCTGGGATACCGCGGACCGGTCTCCATAGTAACCGGCTGACAGACTCCCAGGCCGCAGAGGGATGGTCCGTGCCCGTCGGTCCACAGCCGTCTCCCCTCGGCGTGCAAGCGGTTAATCCGCAGCTGGCCCCTCCCGCGCCCAGCTCAGAGTAACGGAGCCAGCTGTGGGTGTGAACGCCTTTATTTACACTGTCATCCGCGCAGCCCAGCCTGCAGGAGGGCACCGATCCCAGACTTCCACTCCCAGGGCCTGCAGACCCTTCCCTGCTGCAGGAAGCGCCGAGGGCGAGGGCGTGGGAGAACCCTGAAACTTGGGTTCTACCCCAGATCTGAGAACTTGCCTTTCCAAAGGTCCACTTCATTAAGTCCATTAAGTTATCTCATTCATACTTTGTGCTCTGCTGCAACCCACCCAAGATTGTTAATCATAATAATAGTAATAGCAATAATAACACTGTAATAATATTAATACTTCACATTTTACGAAGCATACAGAATGTTTTCACATACAGCATCTCCTCTGAGCCGGCCAACAGTTCTGTGAGGTAGGTACGGTCACCTCCCTTTCCACAGACTAACAGAGGCTCAGAGAGGTAGCAGGATTTGCTCAAGGCCACACAGCTAGTTAGTGGTAAAGCTAGGACTTGCTCCCAGCACCCTATGTTCAAGTCCAGTGTCCGGAACCACAGTTACCTCTGTCAAGTGGAGTGACATTTCTTACCCCAGTCAGGCCTGAGGAGCCAGAGGGCTGGAACTTCTCAGACCAGGGGAGGGGAAACTCAGCATCGATGGGGCGAGTTGGGGTACTTGGCTTTCAACTCCTGTTTGAATTGGCGGTAAAGGATCTTGTTGTGCTGATTTTCAGCCTCCTTTTGGGGGTGGAACTTCAGTGCTTCCTTGAAGCCCTTATGAACCAGGAAACCTTCATTCAGCACCTCAAAATTAAACCCTGCCACGTGCAGCTCACAGGCCTGGAGAGGAAGAGACAGATCAGAATAGTTTGATGACATCCCCAGGGCCCGAACGGCCACACTCCACCATCCAACCACTTCCCAAACTAGCATGGCTTTGCCTCCTTTCCCATTAATGGCTACTCCATCCCTGACACACCTCCTCCCCCAGTCCCACCTACCCTCTCCCTTTTAGGCACCTGACTGATTCGATTGAAGCCGTACTGCCGAAACCGCTCGTCAAAGGTGGGCACCTTGCCTCCAGCCACATAGAACGGCTCCCAGGGATCCTGCCAAGGCACTGCATAGGCAGGCCTCAGCAAGCTCTCTTCTGGCAGGTTGACCCAGCGGGAATAGTTGGTGGGTGCGTGACAGGGCGTGCACAGTCCATAATAGAAGGGCCGGACCTCACCCACTTGATAGAGCTGCACCAGCTCGTTCTTGTCCATGGGCATCCGGCGGGCTCGGCGGATTTCAAAAGCAGGCACCACCAGGGCCATACCTTCCCACTGGTTGCTTTGATCCAACATTTCCCTCAGGCCTCTCCAGAGCCCCTCGCTGGGCACCATGTCCACATCAATCACCAGGGCATAGTTGGCCCCTTCTCGAGCCAGATTCCTCAACAAGTTATTGGGGTAGGAGATGTTGGTGCCCAGGGCATAATTGACCCCGGGCTGGGCCACCCTGGCTAGCTTGTCAAAAACCTCCTGGCAGGAGCGCAGCAGGGCAAACTCCCCAGGCTCCCGGGGATCGGGCACAGCGGCCTCATACCGCGAGGGGCACACGAGGTGCATGGCGACCCTGGCGCGCATGTCGGGGCAGTGGCTACTCAGCGCGTAGGCCAGCACCGTGGCCAGCTGCGCCTCTTCCTTGGTGGCCGCGAAGACAGATACGGACAGCGGGCCCTCCCAGCGCTCCAGTAGCCCTGACAGGTGCAGCAGGTTGTCCACACTGGCGTGCGTGGCCAAGATGACATCGTTGGGGTCCATGGTGGTCTTGAGCAGGCCCCTGTAGACGCGGTAATCGCCGCTGACATCCAGGACTCCTCCGGAGGCCAGCGCGGTGCGGAGCTGCGACTTGACCTGATCCACGGACCGCGGGGAAGGCGGGAAGAACTCGAAATATTGTTCTTGCTCCTCCTGCCCGTGCAGTCCGGAGAGCAGCGACAGGTAGAGCAGCTGCAGCATCGCCACCAGCATTAGCGCGGCCAGCAGCAGCTGGTAGAAGGCGCACCGGATGGCGTAGGACATCTGCATGGCTCTCGGGGCTCCGGGTGCACGGCGGGGACCACCGGGCCGTAGCCTCTGCCAGCCACCGCAAGCCGGGATTTACCGCAGCCTTCCGAGCGCATCCGAGACTAGCCGAGGCCGGCCGAGCCCCGCGCGCAGCCCCGCCCACCGCGCGGATCCAGGCGCGAGCCAGCTCGCCCTCTGGGAGAGAGGAGGAGCTACTGCACCCTCCGCCCGCGAGGCGCGCTTTGCACCCGCCGCACCTGCCCGCGGACCCCAGGACGCGCATCTCTCCCCTCCGAGTCAGGGCGCAGCCCCCTGAACCACGCGCGTCCTGAATCCCCGGTGCGTTCGTGCGCACTCGGGGAGGAGAACCAGTGCACTCACAGCGCGGCTGCAGCTTAGCAGAGGATGGCGCGGTTCCCGGCTGAAGCCGGAGGAAAGAAGAATTTAAAACTCCTTATCACCGTTTCTTTTTCTTCAGTTTTTCCAGGTCAGTGTTGGAGAACGAAGCTTGGAGTCCGGAAGGTGCGGAAGAGATGAGCGATATGGGAATGTGGAAGAAAGTGCCGTGTGTGGGACGAGGTGGCCGAGTGGTTAAGGCGATGGACTGCTAATCCATTGTGCTTTGCACGCGTGGGTTCGAATCCCATCCTCGTCGGCTCTCTTTTACAGCGGAGAAGGCTTCTTAATTTTCCACATCTTGCCTGCCCAGAGCCGCAAAGTGAAGGAAACCCGGAGGACTGCAGGGTTTGGGTGAGAGTCGGTGCTCTCTCCGGTGTTTGTCCACTTTGCATCTCCTGCGAGTTCCTACTTCGGGTGTCAGAACGTTCCAGCCATCGGCCAGTGGTGGTCTTTCCTATCTCCCAAGGATGGCTCAAGGGGTCCGACGGCGCGGAAGACTGGCACCCCTATTCTGGCTAGACCACTTCTGATGTTATCTGCACGAATTACAGAAGCCCCCACTGGAGGGTAGTAGTGTCTATTTAAATTATTACTTTACTGGAACTACCGGTTCCTCCCGCTTCCCCCAGGGTGGTAAAGTCCTTTCTACACTCCCCTTGGTGCCAACACACACGCTTAGGCAGAAGGCTTCGAATATTCCAACTGACTATTTACTGAAGGCACTTAGCGTTTGGGTTAATTGACCCATGAAACCTTCAGCAGAAGCATGGGGAAGGGCAGGCATCTCCACCGCGTAATTGATTATGTGTAATAACTGCTTCACATTCCTTTGGTTTAGTCTGGGGTGGGGGGCACCTTTAGGGCAGAACACTGAGTCTTGGTAAGGAGCCCTGGCACAAACTGGGGAGGGCACTAAATGCCAGCGGGGCGGGGAGGTTTCATAGGCTGCAGCTCGGTACAGTAGCACTCAGGGGCACCAACTCTCTGCCAGGCTGCTGTTGGGCACTGGTGCAGGGACCCTGCACACACAGACGCTGTCCTTTGCACTGAAGACGGGGGTCAAGGAGTGAGGGAAAGCTTAAGTTCAAATCCTTTCAGCACGGGCCTTGTATACCCAACTCAGAAACCCGACCTGGTGTCCGTTGAGGTTTTTTGTTTGTTTGTTGTTGTTTTTTTGTCTTTTTGAGACAGGGTCTCCCTGTAGTCCCAGCTGACCTGAACTCACTATGTAGACCAGGCTGGCCTTGAACTCACAGCGATCCGCCTGCCTCTGCCTCCCGAGTGCTGGGACTAAAGGAGTGCGCCACCACGCCCCGCAAAAATAAAAAAATTAAAAAATATATATTCTATTATTTTTATTTTATGTGTGTGTTGTCTGCATGTACGTGAATGCACCCGTGTCGTGCAATGCTGTGGAGCTCAGAAGAGGGCGTCGGATTCCCCTGGAATTGGAGTTAAGGATGGTTCATAGCTGCCATGTGGGTGCTGGGAATTGAACCCGGGTCCTCTAGCAAGAGCAGGCAGTACTCTTAACCGCTGAGCCATCTCTCCAGCCCCTAAAAATAAAAATTTGAATTACACTAATAACTATTTTTGTTTGTTTTGAGCCAGATCCTATATAGCCCAGAGGGTAGCCTCAAACTCACCATGTAGTTGAGAGCGACCTTGAACTCTTGATCCTCCTGCCTCGACCTCTCAAGTACTGGGTTTCCAAGTGTACACCGCCACACCAAGCCATTAGTACTAACTTTGATTAATCAAATTCCATGTAATAATCACATTTCCAAACTTTCATTTTTTGTGTGTATATTTAAAATATATGTTTTAAAATACTTTCTAGGGGCTGGAGAGATGGCTCAGCGGTTAAGAGCACCAACTGCTCTTGCAGAGGACACGGGTTCGATCCCCAGCACCCACATGGTGGCTACGAACCATCCTTAACTCCAGTTCCAGGGGAATTCGAAGCCTCTTCTGTCCTTCGCAGCATCACATGACACTGGTGCACTCACATACATGCAAGCAATACACTCATACACATAAAATAAAAATATTTTCTAGATCAGTACATTCAGGCTTTTTTTAAAAAAGCTTATAATTTTTACATGTATGACTGTATTGCCTGCATGTGTGAAAGTACACCCATGTTGTGCAATGCCCACGGAGTCAGAAGCGAGCATCGGATCCTCTGGAACTGGTGTTAGAGAAGGTTGTTAGCCACAATGTGGGTGCTGGAAATCGAACTCGGGTCCTCTGTAAGAGCAGCCAGTGCTCTTAACTGCTTGGCTGAGCCATTTCTCTAGCCTATTCCCAGTACATTCAGTTTTCAACACATTATTTTTCTTCACAGACTAAAGAACTCATGATAGTAGGCTTTCTAAAATAAAACTATTAAAATCGAACTTCAAAATAAATATTTTATACAAAGGACTCTTTTTGTGGTAAGTTTTTTATTTTTATTTTTATTTTTGAGAGTGACCTGATCTTGTAGTCCAGGCTGGTTATCGGTGAGTGCCAGATGCACAGACAGGGTCTGGTGGCCCAGAATCCCTTACGACTTCCTCTACAGACTGTTCCCTGCAGGGAAGGGCATGGATTCCATAGACAATCCAAACCTGTGGGCTGGGGCAGCCTTTGCACTGATAGTCTGTCTGATGCTCCCAGAGCTTGGCCTGCACTTGTCTATCAACACAGTGACCAGCTGAAGAGACAGAGTAAACGCTGAGCCCAAGCCCTCATCTCTTGGTACAGTGCTTACTGTTACCCCTCAGGTCTGGCATGTGTAGAAACTGAGGCTCAGAGTTGGGGAGTTGGGTCAGAGTTCCAGTGCTGGGATCTGATCATGGAGCTGCAAGGTCCAGGTGGAGTCTCTTTCCCGCCTTTGGAGGTCCCACAAATCCACAGCCACATATCAAATCCTGAGTTCTGTTTTGTGTGTCTCTGAGTAACCTGGAGAACCTGATGGTCCTGAACCCTTTAGCACAAGCCTGACTGAAATTCAAAAGGCCATGAAGGGTCTGTTCTCTTTCCTGTGTGTGTGTGTGTACACACCCAAAAGGAAAGTATAACCAAAGATTAAAGGGGCCGATATAATTTTTAAGAGTCCATATGAATAGCTAAAGGCTACATAACAAGCAACAATGCCAGTAGGAGACACCTTCTTTTGAATTGTTGGCCAGGGTGGCCAAAGGGACTCCCAGACAGTAACCCAGCATAACACTGGGAAAATAGACAGGAGACCCCAATTTTACCTAAAGGAATATTGACAAGTGATTGCTGCTAGATGACGAATAGCTGACCTTCCTAAAACTGACAATACACACATAAAATAAAAATAATAGAATATATATTTTTAATTTTTTAATTTTTGCGGGGCGTGGTGGCGCACTCCTTTAGTCCCAGCACTCGGGAGGCAGAGGCAGGCGGATCGCTGTGAGTTCAAGGCCAGCCTCCCATATTTTTCCCTCAGGAATCATCCACCGTGTTTTTGAGACAGTCTCTCACTGGGAGCTGGGGCTCACTGAATGGCTGGGCTAATTGGACAACAACCCTCAAAGATCTTCTTGTCTCTGCTTTCCCAGTGCTGAATTTTAAAGAGTTATCTATCATCTATCTATCATCTATCATCTATCTATCTATCTATCTATCTATCTATCTATCTATCATCTATAGATTGATTTATTTTTTGAGACAGAATCTCATTATGTAGCCTTGGCTATCCTGGAATTGGATATGTAGTCCAGGCCAGCCTTGAACTCACAGAGATCTAGCTGTCTCTGCCTCCCAAGTGCTAGGATTTAAAGGCATGTGCCACCACACCTGGCTGACTTGTTTATTTTTATTTATTTATTTATTTATTTCCACGCTTCCTCCTCAAATATAATACATTTTTAAAACTTTGTTGATTTTTTTTTGTGTGTGTGTATCACACAGAACATCCCAAACCATCTTATTCAACTATATGCCCACTTCCCAGATGGCACCCTCCCATAGCCTCTCCCCAC